CGGAACGCGAAACATGCCAGACTATGCCATCATTTGTGTATCATTTACACACAATATGCAACGTGTAGTTCATATGTGCATACGTCTATCGTATAGAGAAGACCGACGAATATTTTCCTTCGTCAGAGACAACTTGCAGCACGGTTTATAATGTTATTCACTCGTTTGAATAATATAGCCTCGCAAAAAGTAAATTTCTATTTTTTGCAAATTCGAAATAAAAACAAGAAGTAATAAATTTTGTACAACCTTTACGTGACGTCCACACTATGGATGTTAAATACAGGTTTTCAAGGACGCTGAACTTTGATCTTGAAAATGTCGCGACTTGTGATTTCGCGAAATTGGAGATTAAAGCTGCAAAAAGGCTGTTTTAACGTACTTACACAATCGAGTTACGATCTCAAATCTTTCGACTCGAACAACGAAAAGGAAAAGAAACGAGAAACCATTCTCCTTTTCGTTGAGCTTCTTTTCTTTTATCGAACCATGCAATTGTTGGAAGAACGCTCTTAAAGCAGACAAGAGTGGAATGGAAATCCGATATTTTTATTGTTATTTCCTCCTTGTAATTGATTCTTTATTCCGTGAACAGCTATCATTATGGATTGTCCGTGTCTGTCAATATTGAAACAGAAAACCATTTCTAATTAAAATTCATTCTTTTTGTTACTTTCTTTACTCGTGTCTGATCGCGATTGATAACGTAAGAAAATTAAGTATCCCAAGCTTCGTACAAGTAGGTCATCCAAGTATTAAAGATTAACGTACGTGGACTGAGCTGGGGATGGAGAAGGGATGAGTTGCATATTATATTATTAATATATGTATATGTGTATAATTGTATGTGTTCTCTCAAAGACTGAAGGAAATCGGGGCGTCGAGAAAGGTACCGATTTTCTTATTTATTACGTAAGCTGTGAATATATTGCGTATTTTGATGATTCACATGTTAAAGGTTAATAGTTGTGTGAATAATTTTCTTCACTAGAGATAAGTTTTATGTTACTATTATCGAAGTAGCATATTTGTTTCAAATTTATAGTAAACAGATTTACGACAGAGAGTTATATTATTCAGCTTAGGACAATTACTCGGATTGTCAGCATACCACTTTTCTTTTCTTTTGCCTAAATATTTGATTGTCAAGTACTTAATATTTAACAGTCGTGAGATAACGATAGATAAAATGTACGTCAAATAAAACAGTTTGAATATGAATATTATTATTATTACAATATAATCATTATAATCTATTATATAATAGAACATGTTATATCTCATTTCAATTCAAATTTAATCACCTTACAAATCTAAAGAATTTCACCTAGCAAGCTTAAAGACTCCTACTTATGTTAATTAAAATTAAATTTCTATTTGATTTTTTTTTAATTTTAAAGTACAAATTTTAAGTAATGGTATATTTATAATTTTCATAATACTTATCTAGCTCGTTTGATCGAGAAAGGAAACAGTGTGTTTTTTATATGTACTTCCTAAATTTGTGAGCGTAGTAGCTCGCAGCCAAATCAATTATCCTCTTACATATTTGAATTATGGCTCGATTTAAATAATATTTAAGTGGTTAAAAAATAATAAGTATTTATTTTAGTATTTGGTACAATAAATTTTACTTTTATTTAATATTATACTTAACATATGTATTAATTTTTAAAAATAAGATATAATATAAAGGCTACGAGCCAAAAATATATATATATATATATATTTAGATCAATAACAAAACACTATATAAAATACATCGAGACATTATAATCAAAAGATATAAAAAAATTATTGCAAAGACAAAAAGTTAACAGACGTTTCAACCTCACTCGGGTCATCTTCAATGTTTAAACGTATAAATTCAAATAACAACATATGTAGCGAACCTTATAAAATAGTGAATTTAATCGCACAATCAGAGAAAATTGTTAAACCAATCTAAAACAATTTTCTCTGATTGTCAGTTATAACGTTTTAAAATAATGACTCAACAACATCATTTTTCATATCTGAACGCATTGTCTTGACTTAATTTAAAACATTGACGAAATTACTGGATATAACTTTATAATGTTGCTGTTTTACAATATATTAAGCCTTTGATTGTGATTAAGCCTTTGATTGTACCTCTACACTATCAAAGTTATGTAACCGTGGATTTTCATCATTCCATTGCAGAGAATAAGATTATTATCAAATAATTATCAGCAACATCTCATGTAATGCTGCTAAGAAGGGTGCATTATATATAAATTATATATAAATTCACTATTTTATAAGGTTCGCTATATATGTTGTTATTCGAATTTACACGTTTAAACGTTGAAGATGACCCGAGCGAGGTTGAAACGTCTGTTAACTTTTTGTCTTTGCAATAATGTTTATATCTTTCGATTATAACGTCTCGATGTAATATAGTGTTTTATTATTGATCTAAATATATATTTTTGGCTCGTAGCCTTTACATTATATCTTATTTTTAATTTATTAAGCCATAATATCTACTTTTTTTAATTTTTATCTTAATATTTTTTTCTTTAACATAATATTTTAATACTTTTATAATAATTTTCTCACCTGTTTTCTTTCATTCTGCACTGTGTATGAAAGACTTTCAGAGAATTAAGTCTTAAGAAAGTAAAAGGAAAGCAAGTAGGTAACTAATTAAATTAATCATGAACCACTAATTAAATCAATCGTAAATGTGCTTTTGTTTCTTAACAGAATTGCTAATAAGAAATCGATTTTAATTTTTCTAAAAAAATATATCACTGAAATTAAAATCACAAATTACAGAAACAGCTCGAATAACATTAGCACATATAACCCAATTCATGGATCTTACCATCCATCTTGAGTTCTCTGTAGTTAAGACTCAATATCAAATTGTCGTCATAATGATTTAAAATTAATGCGATGACCTGCGGATCAACAGTTCACTCAGGAAGCGTAGGTATCACGTGATGGACGATTTTACATATTTGGCTTTCAGTTCTGAAGGTATGGCTTTAGTTTTCCACGAAACATATATCCTTACACATCTTCTTTCCACAAGTGTATTTTTAAAGTATGTATTATGCATATTTGTTGTCCTAGTATTATACATATACATACACATACACACGCGAGTGTACACACGCACACATATATTACATATACAATATATACATAATAAATAATATTTTGGTATAGTGCATAGGGAAGAAGAATGTCCTAAATTGGAACCGTGTTCCAAACCGGATCTCTTTAATTTAAATAAATACGGTTAAGCAGATTTGCGTGCTATTTATAATGTAAAGTCCTTATAAGACACTGAACATGTGACAGCAGTTTGGCAGTATTCTATCATGACGTTCATAGAATAGACGCAAATATGTATTTTCGGCTATCATGCGAAAATTTTTTTAAAAAAGAAAATCCTTGTAAATCCTTATTTAAAAGATGTTAAAAATTTGAACAATAATTGATTTAAGATAATTAAAGAGTGTAGAATTCAAAAATATCAGAGTTTTGTGATTATTTTTGCGGTTTATTGTAAAATTTGTTTCAATAGTTCGAAAGAACCCGTGTTCAAAACGGACCTCTCTTTGGATGTCCAAATCGGACCTATACAAAAAACACTAAGAAGATGAGTAAGCCAGCTAATTCATCAAAGAAAGAAAATTCGCCACAACTTGATTGTAGTACTGGTGATCGACAAGATCTGGTCTAAGGAACACTAAATCAATAAAATATCATGTACATACATATCATCAGACTCAGACTTGATGGAATTTTTTATTGATTTTAATTCTAATAATATAAACAGTATTTTTATCTTTGAGTCTTAAATTGCTCGTTTTTACTCAATACTAACAAAAAAATTAATTAAAATATTTTAAAATTCTACCTAAAAGTCCGTAAAAATAGGAGAGGTCCAATTTGGAACTCATAGTTCCAAATCGGACAAATGCATTTTTACATTTTTCATTATAGTTCGACACAAGTAAGAGATACATCAAAATAGTCTGAAGCAAAAATGAAGGAAATTAAATGATCTTTCGATCTTGGCACTATTGGTTTTATGATCGGACTTTATTTATGCCTTGTAGAGAACAAAAACTGCAAATAGATCCGATATAGACCACTCTCCCTTATATATAATGAAAGATAGTTTCTTGCTTTTATATTTAATAACTCGGTGAAAAAAATCACATAATAATCAACAAGTAGAACGCGAATAAAAAGAAAAGCTCTTTCTAAAAGTACACAATAATCTGCATTTATATACGATTTTTAATCCACGTCATACAGAATTTTGCAAAGTTTGTACAAAATTTTGAGATTTCCCGATTCTTTATTTAAATCTGTACAACTCGATAAAATATTGATCAAAAAAGTACAGACTTTAAGATATAAAATAATTTTTTAATCATCTCTTATTGTATGATTATTTTTAATAAAAGTTATACGCTCTTTTAAGAATTACTTATTTTTGATAGGCAGAATAAAGGATTCTCTTAATCTTGGCGTAGTGTATATATGTATATTTATATGTATATGTATATTTTATATTTATATAACAGTAACGTCACGAAGAAGTTCTAAAGCGGGAAATAATCTGCGTAAAACAGAAAAAATATTGTACAGTATAGGAATCTAATTATGCAATATAGATCATAATACAATATGTGGTTTTTTAATAATTAGAACATTAAAATTATTTTTAAAATTTTATTAATGTGTTATTATTAATAATTAAACATTATAAAGTAACGTACTTTGATCATTATAATGATCATGATTTTATGAATTTAAGCTTTGCAATACACGTAAGTATTTGCAATAGACGTAATTTTTCCATTACTCACACTTCAGAACATCAACATTTATAAATGCGTATGAATTAATAATTCTTATTTAATTCTATATATGTATATATAAACGTATTTGAAACGCATGTACAGTTCTTGTCATACCGTGGATGGACCCCACTCCGTGGACACAGAGACGTTACTACTATTACAGACTATAAGTATCGCGTTTGGACATTCCTCGGATCGACAGCCGTAAAATGCTGCATCGGATGAATCCTGATTTTTTAGACGCCGAGTCTGAAAGCTCAAGAAAAACGTGTCTGGAGTCATGCATTGTACGTCCAAGAATATCACGAAAAGGAGATGGCAACGGTATGTACGCTCTTATATCTTATTAACAACAAAAAGGAACTGGATGTAAGTTAACAAAATGTAAAATCGACGATGCCAGAGATAAGAGATATTAAAATGAAGAGATAATTAAAATGCATGTCGATATTTTGTTGTATGTTTCTTGTACAAATGATATCTGACTATTATCAAAAGATTATAAATATAATTGGTTCATTAATAGATAAATTTCAATAAAATGAAGGAAAGATAAGACGATATAATAATCAACGCAGATATATATACGTAGACGTGCGTAATATAATGATACAATATTATAATATTTAATCTATTATTCACAGTACATAACATACATAAAACGCATGTTTCGATCACAATTTTGTGCTCTTCAGTGCATATTTGTAAATAAAATTTATTTAAACGGTAAAACATGGGTTAAGATAAAATTACAATAATAATAGTATATTGTACAAAGTATATTGAAATGTGAAACAATAAAGTCACAGTAACAGATTAAATAAATCCGGAATTGCACATTTATATCTTTACTTACTTTGAATTTCATTTACATAACTTTATTTTTTGACGCAACTCTTAATTCGATATAAATGTGCAATTCCGGATTTATTTAATCTATTACTGTGACTTTATTGTTTCACATTTCAATATATTTTGTACAATACTATTATTATTGTAATTTTATCTTAACCCATGTTTTACCGTTTAAATAAATTTTATTTACAAATATAAGACCGTACGTTGTAAAGTAATATAAAATATGATGTAAAACATATAATATGATATACAGGGTGAGGCATTTAAAACAGGTCACATGAATAACTCGATAAAAGTTGCTTGGTTTCACATAATGTGATGTTAATAATTATTTTGTAGGTGGAGGCATAAAGAATAGGCAAAGGTCAATCTGTTTTTTTAAATAGAATGATGTTTTTTTTATTCACATTCTGATAGAGCATTTTAAGACGAACAGTGACTTATAAGGCCTCTGTACACGGTCAGTAATACTGTCAGTATCAAATACTGACAATATTATTGATTATGTGTGGTTAATATTAATGAATTGACGTAGAATACTAACAATGATTTGGATTTAAATACATGCTTTTTCCTTAAGATGTCGCCATAGATAATAATATACGTCAAATCACGTCAAACTGAAGTGAAATATTATCAATAATCAAGGAATGGAAGTAACTCGTTACTTGTAACGAAGTTACCTGTTACAAGTTATTTTTTTGGTAACTTTACTGGTAACTGCGTTACTTTGTTCTTTTGTCTATACCGGTAACGTAGTTACATTTTTTGGATAACGATAACGAAATTTACAGTTACTTTTATCGTTAATTTGCATACGATTGGATACGTTATTCTGTTATATAACAATTACATGTTATTAATTACGACAGCTATAAATGTGGTTGTAGGACATTGAGTGTTTTTATTTATAATACAGGCGTACAAGCTACATTTAGTTTAACTTAAAAGCTAAAGATCGTACATATTTTGTTCTAATTGAGCTGTGTAAAAAGCTTTACTCTGTACATTTCTGTATACATTTATGTTAAGCAATTGGAAAACGCCCCTTTTTGCAAAACTTCTGTTATATATTTTAATTATAGCGTTATAATTTTCTTTCTCTTAAAATATTTGATTTACATTTAAAAGTATAGATTAAGTAAAAATATAGCTGTATTATAATAAAGAGATTATGTGTATTTCTTAATTTTCCTTATAATTTCTAACTTATATTGTGATTCAGATCGTTGTATACAATCCTATATAATCTTCTAGTTTTCTACATAGTATAAAAAAATTCCTGAAATATTTTAGCTGTCAACTGCTGTAGCGATCCTGAAGTCTTTGACAGCTGAAAAATATATACAGTATCATTATTTCAGGAATTATTTTGCACTTCTATCTTCTATGTGATACATCGGACATATGTGTATATCTCAGTTTGCTGCATATTTTAAAGGTTTTAGAATTACGAAATTGTATTTAAAAAAAAACTAAAATATAAAACTATATGGTGTCAATGTTATACATGCTATATATATATTGCTTTTATTAACGTTTAAACAAAAAATACTGCAAAAGTACATTTTCAGACTGATTTTTAAAAAGTAACGGAAAAATAACGAAAAGTTACTTTCGAATAACGATAACGGTAACTCGTTACTTTTTTTACTCGGTAACGAGTAACTGTAACTTGTTATTTTTAAACAGTAACTTTCCATTCCCTGTCAATAATACCTAATTGTATAAGATTGTAAAAACTAATGCATACTGTCAGTAATAATGATTAGAAATACTGACTCGGTATTACTGACCGTGTAGGAAGGCCTATAATTAAAGGTCATGCAAGATAAATAATAGGAAATAATTGAATAGAAAATAAAAAACATCATTTCATTTTAAAAAAACAGATTGACCTTTGCCTATCCTTTGCGCCTCCCCCTACAAAATAATTATTAACATTTTTCTTTCTATTGTTAAAAACAAGCGAATTCAGGTGACCTGTTTTAAATGCTTCATCCTGTATAATAAAATAGTAGAAGGCAGAGTTAAAGTAAAAAAAAAAAAGCGTAATAAGCGGTAAAAGTAAAAATGTATATCGAAAAATATATGAAATACAATTATTTAGTCTGTAATTTAAGAAGGAATATCAGGATGACGGCCGAAAATTCTCTTTGTGAATTTTTTTTTTGAAAACTGGTAGCTTGTATGAATTATTGTTTTTATATATGCGAAGTACATATATTTACGAAATTATTTAAAAAAATTCATTGAATAATATTAATATTTGTAGCTTCAGTACTCATTGATGTGCACCTCGTCTGAAAAAACATGGGTGCACGGGCGCTCGTGCTGCGCCTGAACGGGAGCTCTGAAATAATTTTTTTAAATTTTATTTTAAAGTATATGAGTGTAGTTTCAGTTGCACGTACCGAATTTTTGATAAAATAATTTTAAACAAAATGGCGCTGTTTTAAAAAAAAGGTCACGGTTTTGCGACAAAAAATCGTTATATTTTTAATTGTTTTTCAAAAACTAATAATCCGATTGAAAAGTTCGTACGTGCAACTGAAGACAATTTCGTTGTAAACATTCTATCCAAAATTCAAGTCATTCGGATAAAAATTTGCCGAGATATGTGAGCGCCCAGTTACGAAAACGTGATTTCGAGAAAAACACGTTTAAAGTTTTACAACCGACTAGTTTATATATAACAATAAAATTTCGTAACGAATCAAAGTGCGTCCAATCCGAGTGCATATGAAGTGTTCACGTCTGAAGCACACAAGAAACAAAAGAATACCGGTAAAACTGCCTACAAGCATATCAAGGGGACTGCTGAATGTCCTAGCGGCATCTGACCACGTTCTATTCTATCACATATTTACTATTGTTCCGTTAGGAATTTCAACATAATATTATAGGGACATATTTTTAAGACTCCAAGCATTACAAAAATGCAATTAAAAAAATCGATTTTTTAAACTCGTCACCGTGGTGTTCCCCCTTAATAGATAAAATATGTTGTTATCATTATAAGCACCGACTATCTGCGTTAACACTTATTGAATTATTTTTCTTTCAGTTTATCTTAATTTATTCTTAATGCTATTCTTGTTTATTATTTAGATAAATTCAATTAGCAGCCTATACTAGCCTAAGGGTAGTATAGGCTGCTAATTGAATTTATCTATAGATAAAACGTCTTTTTTATTACACACTTTTGAGGCTTTCACGGGTATTTTCTTCGATTATACCAGAAGGTTTGCGGGTTATCGCCGTGTCTTTCTTCATTATTAATACTAAAACGTTTCGTGAACCGTGTCGTTTACTTCATCAGGGCGTCTTTTTTCTTCTTTCTTCTCTATAAGAATATTTTATACAATTCGTGTTGCTTGACATATTCAAGTTATAGTTGTAATGAATATATGTTCTTTCTCCTGCGTGTGGTTCGCAAATTTCATGTGACATATTGGGTCAGTTCCACACTATTTTCAATATAAATATGAATAAAAATAATAAAATATATGTGAATGCATATTTCTACTGATAATTATACTATGTATCTTCAGTTGCTGTTTCACAACAAACACAATCTGTTTCAATCAATTTTTTCAATCTTTTCATTTAAAAACTTTATTTCTTAATTTGGAGTATATTCCAACAGCTGCAGTTTTGTAAACCTTTATATTTGCCATCTCTTTAAAGTTTAAATAATTTTTGCAGACTTTGGGGAAAACAGAGTCACATATAAAAACTCAATTGAAATTAATTTTTGTCTGCAATTGTCGCATTGTGTAACATTGCGATACATATATAATATATTGTATAATATTTTTCTAACGGAATATAGACATTTTCTTTTGCTGAGACAGTCTAGAAGATTGACTGTCTTGTTAAGTCAAGTTATCCGCATTTTGTAAGATTGATAGTGAATATATATAACATTATTTCTGTAAATCTGTAAAAATTTTTTGAGAATTGATATAAGTGAGAATTGCGAGAAATAAGTATAAATATACAAACATACCATGATATAATTCTGTTGGTATGTTTGTATATTTATACTTATTTCTCGCAATCTTACAAAATGCGGTTATCTGTCTTACTCAACATCAACGTTAATGCCAAATCTGAAGAGAACTGTAGAAACTAGTAATTACGTAGCATATAGTTCCATATATTCGTTTATTGTTAGATTATAATAAGTAGTTTTAAAAGTTATTTATTTTAAGTATTTTTTAGTTAGTATTTATGTCATAATGGTTTAACTAAATATATGTTGTATATTTGTTACTTATAATATTATCTTTTAATTTGTTGAATATTTCGATGCCAGTCTAATTAAATTTATGAAAATGTCTTTGCATGGATAATTCAGATATTCTTCCAAACGTAGATCTCGTGTACGTGTTTTAGAATTTCATATAAAATGAATACGATTAATTACTTCGATGTTTTGTATACCTACTATAAACTACGCT